ATATAATCTTAATTTCTAATACTCTCTTATTAAGTTATTCTCTTTTATATTCTACTTATATTATTCTTTTTCACATTTTCAATCCCAACATTTTCCGGAATCTCTTGAATATTATTCTTTTATATAACTTTGTTATTCTATTAACTATTATATCAATAATTGTCACGGGTTCACTACCCGTTCCTAGCTAGCTCGGATGGATGCCTTAGGCATCCATCCACTATATAGTCGTCGTCGCTCCACACGCCTCCTTCTCTCCTCATCGAATATCATATATCTTACCTAATATCTATACCAGTCCTGTAATAATATATTCGACTCTTCAAAAGGCCTTATTATTAATAACAACCCGGCTTTGATTATATCTATTTGTATACAGCAATTTTAATTTGATAATTTTGATTCTGACTTCGATTTGTATTACTATAATAATCAATTCTACAAATTCATTGGTTATATTCAATAATACTAATCCTAATATATCTGTTATCAATACTAATACATCTACTCCTGAAATCATGATATATAAAACCTTGATTATATATATTTATTAAGTATTCCAAAACTAACCCTGTATCGCTAACATATTCATTTCCGATATCCTTTTCCAAGATCTAACTTTATTAATCAATCTATTCAATATAGAAAACACCAATTCCATTACTTGATACTTTCTTCAAAACCTGCTTACTACACTTGAAGTCATTGTCAAAGAATATTATATTGAATATACAATCTAGTTATATATCAAGATTACAAACAATAGAAGATTACTAAAATGAAATAGATTAATAAAAACTCTAATCCTATTGATATTATAACTAAAAACAAATATTATTAGACTTTTATTAATTTTATTAATACGAATATTTATAAATTAAATTTTATTTAATAAATTAAAAAAACAATAAAGAAAACTAGTTAATATTAGTTTATTAAACAAGGGAATAGGAGTAAATAATAGAAATCATGAATAATAAAAGAATCTTTTAGAATAATAGGAATTAGTAAATAATAAAGAATTTAAGAGATTTTGAATGAATAAAGTATTAAAAACAAAACATTCTATAAAGATATTCAAAGAGGTTTTTTTATCTCTTTTCTTTTATTTATAAAAGTATATATTTAATACTTTTCTAGTAATTGCTAATATTGCGATATTAGTGAATATAATTATATAATAGTGATAGCTATATAAGTCTTCTTGTTCTCGAAGTAGGAATAGTCTTAATCAACTTTCAATATAATATATTTTCATTATATAGTATAATCGTTTCACTCCCGAGGTAATACTAATAGGAATCCTAGCTATACTAGAATAATTTATCGATTTCTCTGATTTTTATATAATGATATCAGAATTTTAGCTTGTATTAGAATACTATATAACTTTTTCGAAAATCTAATATAAATAATAGAATCTTATTAACTAAACAAATCTAATTATATTATATTCTTTAATATTATATAATAAGAAATTTTGAATATCATATGATTATTTTAATATAAATTTTGTATAAAACTTTATAAACCTCTTTATATCGGATATAATTGATCGAATTTTTCGTTCCGGTATAAACAAGTTCTACTGTACGCAAGTAGTATTTACCGAGTACCGTAACTTCCCCTTAATTAATGTTTACATTACGTAATCACCATCCGAGGCCACGGGTATCGCAATCCTTATCTCACAGCAGCAGCTTCAATAACCTGTAGGTACAATATAATGATGAATGAGTAATGAGTAATTATCAACAATAAATCATTATTCAGTCAAACACAACAAACAAGTTCATCAACTTTATACTTCCATCCCCAATTGATTTTTTTAGGAATAGGTGTATCCCTGTTTCCTGGCCTACAAGTGCTCAATTCCCTTCTCAATAAACACACTCAGTCATGGCACCTGGGTTCAATACCAAATCTCCCACTATGAAGCGCATCAGTAAGTCATCCTGTATTTCACAGCTTTTCCTAACATATGTTAATCGAGGATCTAGTGAAAGAAGCCGCGGAACTCTCACAGCATCCCTCTCCAGACTACACAGCTTCTCCGGCCTCAGATACCGATTTGTTCGACTGGCACTTCACACTACGTGGCCCTCCATCCTCATCTTTCGCTGGTGGCATTTATCACGGGCGCATCGTTTTACCTCCTCAATATCCCCTGCGACCTCCTTCATTCAGATTTCTTACGCCTAGTGGAAGGTTTGAGGTGAATCGTGAGATCTGCTTGAGTATAAGTGGGCACCACGAGGAAACATGGCAGCCTGCGTGGGGAATACGAACCTCATTGGTAGCCCTCAGGTCTTTTATGGAGACGAGTCCTGCGGGACAATTAGGAGGGGTTGATGCGAGCGATAGTGTTAGGAAAAGAATAGCGGGAGAGAGTAGAGGATGGAAGTGCGGGGTGTGTGGAGGAAAGAGCTGTGAAGAAATTTTAGGAGAAGCAGAGCAACTTGCGAAAGAGTTCGAGGGTGAAGGGGTCAGTTTCAAGACAGAAGAAGCCACGGTCCCACCTGAGATACAAATGGGATATAAGAAGGAGACTATAGAGGGAAAGGAGGCAAGCCGAAACATAGACGAATGGAACAGTAAGTCCGCCGAGGACACAAGTTCGGTTGAGAGGAAATATACACCTGCGAGTCCAGCACAAACGGTACCCCAACCTACGGCTACGATACCAGTTCCTCCTCAAATACTCCAGCCTCAACCCCAACCCCAACCCCAAAGGCAAATGGCACAGGCCCATGTACGGTCAAATGATGGTGTACCCGTATGGGTCGATCGAGCTATTGCGGGGATAATTCTATGCTTAGTAGTTATGGTTTTGAAGATGCTACTGGGCAAATAAATAGTGTACACGATTACACGTGTTGTGGTGCAAGCTTCCTTTGGAAAATGGATTGGTGGGCTAGCAGCAGGATGGCAAGGCGTTATTGAGCTGGGTGTGCATGAACTTACTTGGCCTTTTTTTGTTCAAATTGATACCATTCTACAGGAAATGAAGCTCCACTGTTTGTGTGGCCTATTTGGCATCTTTTAGATTGAAACAAACCCACCACTTATGAGAATTACTGACGATACAATGTATGACGGTTGTTGGTACATATCACACATACATATCACACAATCACATCTATGATTACTAGTATAGTTCTTTCTCAAAAGCTCTCTAAATCAGCTAAATCAATAAGAGTTAGGTTATTAATCATTATGAAAATTCACTTACATGCATCAAAGAGGACCTTTGATGGACCAAAGTTTCAGGAATGCACCCAAACGAGTTTTTAAGGCCGCATTCTACCAACAGAGACTTCTTTGATACAACTTTAATTGTTGATATGGAATCTTGAAGCTTCAAAATAGTAAAAGTAAGAAGATTGGAATTGAAATTAGACTACTACAAACAACCTGCCACCCGATAGTTCATTATAGAATAGTTGAGATGGTTTCAGGGGCTTAGTAGGCCTGGATACACTGGCTTTGAATCCATCGTACCTGACTTACCCGACTTTTTGGAAGATCCTGGGCTTCAGAATTTCATCAAAAATATTCACAACGCTGTGAAGAGGAATGCTTTTTTAAAAGGTGTCGGCACTGAGTGGGATCTCGGTGATGCAGTTTATGATTACCACAAATCGAGTGGGCCCGTTCATGATAAGTATGGAGATTTGAAGTTATATTTTGACCAAAATCCTGCCTATGATGGCACTTCACCGAAAGTAGGGGCTCCAAGATATTTTAACGATTCCCAATTAAAGCAAAGATACCACGATTTGTTTTGGGGTCCTCACAGCATTGACTCAATTTCAAAGAGCATTTCAGAGCACTTGGGGGGAACTGTAGAGGATCAGTTAATTGCTTTCTTAACACCGCAACCCAATGTTGAGAACCATGTTTTGAGTGGCTTTATAAACTACCAGGGAGAGGGGAAAAAAGATTTCCTACCTGTCAAAAACCCTCTCGATGGTTATGACAGGCTACACTTAATCCAGGATATTGTTGCTGCATCCCTATCCTTTCATATTTCGATAAGAATCTTGAAAAACCCCTTCTTCTTCATGGATAACCCAGAAGAGTTTCTTGATCTGGTTTTGGGTCTTGATCAGGCTTGGGGTCCAGGAAATGATATGGACTTGCTCTATCATAGTATCATGTATAGTAAGTACTGACATTGAAAGTTTGGGAATAATATCTGATCTTCGAATTTATAGATCAATCTTCAGGAAAACTGATTGTTGCAAGATGTTTGAGGTCAAATACTCTTAGAATGCTCAGGCCCAAAGAACATGATGCTGAAAGTACGAGCATCACAAAGACCACAAATGATTTCATTCAGCTTGTGACATCCCGACGGGCTAGACAGTGGATGTCCAGCAAATTAGCCCAACTTTGGGATATCACGAGTGATTAACAAACTGAGATTGAAAGGCTTTACAGAATAGCAGGAGAGTTGACGGTTGATGCTTCATCCATGACATGGACTGAGATCAAGATCTCGACATTAAAGGATTTCAGAGCTCCTGCCTTTGAGCCCCCTGGTGGCTTACTTTATGGAAACAACAAACCTACGAATTGGATGTCCAGAAAGGGAAATGATGCTCCCACAATGATCACAGTACCTTCTCAGGACCTGAGTAACGAACGCAAGGCATTAGAAGCATATGGAAGCGAAATTCGGCTCCTCAAAAGTCCACTGGTAGAAAATATTCATGCCAAAATTCCTATTGTTGACAATCTGAAGCCCGAATCCAACCCACATTATGTCCAGCACAAGTATATTTGATACCTCCGGATGCAGCACAGAAAAGATTCGATGAATTACTCGAGAGAGTGCGGGGGGTAAGTTACGAGAGAGATGAAGAACAGAGGGAAAAGCAGAAGCAAGAAGTAGAATATTACAAAAACAAGTTGTTGAATGGACTACAAGAGTCGCTACAAAGCGGAGCTGGGAGGAAAGGAAAAGAGAAGGAAAGGGGAGGAGAAAAGGGGGAAAGTAATATTCCGAAGGGAGGAGATGAAAAGCAAAGGCAGGAGGTAGAAGATTACACAAAGAAATTGTTAAGTGGGCTCTTTGGAAAAACACAGGAAGGGCTAGAACAGGGGATTGGGGGTAAGGAGAAGGGGATAGACAAGGGGGGGAATCAAGTGGAAAGTGAAATAGAGAAGGCGAGGATAAACAAGGAAATAGACAAAAGATTGAAGAAAATAGAGGAAGAGGAAGAGCAGAGCCGGAAGCAACAATCGAAGTCAAAAATTCCTTCAACACAGCTCCAAAAAGCTTCTAAATCTTCTAAAACTGTTGGAGCAACGGCACAGGAGATTGGGACCACAGGAAAACAACCCGCAGAGCTCAAAGCTAAGAACACTGAACAAACCTCAGCGAGCAAACCTAGTGATGTTGCGGAAGGAGGAGATGCGAAAGATAATCGTGGGCCACCTCCCCCTCCTCCTCCTTCTCCTCCACCTCCTAGATTGCGTGGCTTCATGAATGTCAGGACCTTTGGGAGAGAAATGTGGATATTGATCGTGTGGCTTACCGAATCGGCCCTGTATTATATTCCACTTGTCCTATTCTTGTTCGGACTTCCGGCTATGCTGATGTGCGTTACTTACACCCGAACCTTTCAACTAGGCGACGAAAAGATCCACTGGGGCTTGATACCTGATTTGTGGGATGCATTCCTCCAATTTACCATGGCTTCCCTGCGGAAATCAATTGACTTTTTCGTCACTATCGCTGATTGGTTGAGAATTCCCCTTGACTGTCGAGTTTCAGCGTGGACTACAGTCACTGGTTCTGTCACTTTATGGTTCGTAACCTTCGCTAGCTGGTGGATCTGGGCCTCTGCTTTTATCAAGACTTTCATGAAATATATGTCCGACTTGCAGGAATTTATTATGGAAAAGATAATTTCCCCAAGAGTATGGTCTAAACTTCCTACCTACAATGCTAAAGAATGGAGACACATAATGCGCTTCATCAGATATTTCGGCGCCTTTGTCACCGTGGCTATCTTCGTCCTCTCTACTTCACCTATGTGGGATGTCCTCGTTACCATTATTGTCCATCAAATTTTAAATTTGGGTCCCGCATATCGCGCGTTTAAGTATATTACTCGTTGCGTCTCTAACTTACCGTCAATCTTACCACCCATGATGAAACTCTTTAAGACTGTTAGAAAGGGTTTGAAGACCATATTGCATATCTCCAAAGTCTTCTCTTCGATATCGGAAGGATTATCAGGTATTACCGGTAATACGTCCATTTCGATAACACCAGAACCAGATCCAGGACAATATACATCAGATGCAATATTAGAACTTGGAGATAGACTATCATTAGAGGACAGCCCCATATCTACTACAGAGACTCCATTTCTAGAAGTATCTTTTGATCGAGCCAAAGTATCAATGTTCGCAAGTTATATATTAGTCCTCCTATTTGCATTCGGCTTTTATATGTCTCTACATCGCTATTTCCATGCCTGGAGTCAGGTGGTTGTTGAAGAAGCGTCACTGCCTCCAGACGAGATACCCCCTCCAGCAGGGTCCCCCCCCCCTTTGGGTGCTACAGGTCAGGCTCTGCCGCACTCCTCTAGCTCATCGTCCGACGGCTCTGGTCCTGACTCCACCGATAACTATCATTTCCCACCACCACTGAACCGACTGTCATCAATAAGCAACTTACTTATCTATACGCATCGTCCACTCGCAATTCTTCGTCATTCATTCGCATATTTTAGCAACCTACTTACTTATATTTCTCGTCCGTTCGCATATGTCCGTCGCCGACTCACCATGTTCATTGATTACCATCTCCCGCCTCCACTGAGCCGTATTCGTCTTCCCTTTGCATATATTCGCTGGCTACTCACCGAGTTTGAAGATTATCGTTTTCCAAGGCCCCCACTGCACCGACCACCACTGATAAGCAACCTAATCACCTATGTTCTTCATATATACGCAATAGTTGGTCGACTCTCCGCAGACACGAGTCAACAATTCGCACAGCAATTCTTATCTATGCGCAATTTCATAACTTCCTATAGGACTTCTCCCCTCCAAGGAATTTTCGATGCACTAGAAGCCCAATACGCGTTGATTGTTCGCACCAAGGAAGTGTTACTTTACGCCCGTGATTTAATCATTCCTTCGACAGTTTTGTTGTTATTTACGTTACTGGGCTGGGAAACAGAGTTCTTCGCGGTCAGGGGCTACAATCCCTATGCTCTTACGGCTATCCGCGCTATCCGCTCTTATTTCTGAACAGGTCCTGTAGCTAGCCCTCGACCTCGTGGTCGTGCGGGTGTATTGAGGCGTCATTATTTTCCTGGTTTTGCGCATGGCCGTCATCGTTCGCTTCCTAATCCACAATGTGAGTATCTTCCCCACCCTTCGGACATCCACAAACAATACCATATATACTAACACTAACCAGGGTTTCCTCTGTTCCATCTGGTGATTGGGATGGCCGTTTGGAGCTTTACATATTTTGGCGCACCGGATCATCCCAGTGCTCGTAACCATGTTAGTCGTTTATTTGTGCATGAAACCATATTTTCCAGGGCCTTCGAAGGTTGGGACTATGGAATTTTGTTGGTAGCGCTGTTCCTCGGTTCCTTGGTGTATACTACTTATGACTCCATAGCACCATCGAGGTTGGTTACATGATGGGGGAAATATTTTGATTATTTTAATGTCTGGAAATGTAACGGCGTTAGGTAATAAAGTATGGCATGAAAGTATGGCATGGGATCAGAACTATGTATCTCTAATAATGGCTGGACATTCTGCAAGTCCATCCCTGGAAGCTCCCTTATGATTAAGAATGTTGCATGCTTGATGACGGTGAATAGCCCAAACGCCGAACAATCACCGTATAGAGATTGGAGCACTCGCACTTCTCTCGTTGAGCATTCCTTAGGCTACGCCTGTCACCAAGCGAACCAATCTCCACAGCAATTCACAAGCACCAGAATCTCCATTTCCCTGTAGATAAATTCATAGTTGGAAACACTTGGCATCCTCATTAGCATCCTATATAATCTCATCTAGCCACAATGAAGTCTGCATCCAAAGTACTCCGATATCGAGTCAAAGCAGGATCGATCACAGATCCTAACAATCCAGCATCACGCAAAGCCACCTCTATTATCAAAGCCATCTCATCAAATAGCCACACGCGCAAAGACCTAGTCAATACACTCATATGCCGCACCTTGGTTATTTCAATGAGATCTGAAATGGCGAGCCACAGGATAATAAGATCTCCCTGTACAAATTTGAGACATTGGGAAATTGAACGTATATACTCTCAACACCGACGTCTGACAAATGGGGGGACAAACAAAGAATGAATTCTAGCAGAATTCGATAACTAGCCCGGCTGAGCTATGAGATCTCATCTGGTTATTCCAACATAGATTCACTAGAACCTTGAAACGTATATAACCATAGTCTTCATCCCCCTCTCATTTGCTTTTTGATATATAAAATATATATAAAATATAAACCTCATCAATTGTTCTGGTGGTTGGTGGTTGGTGGGTGTTGCTAATAAAGTTCAAATATCGCGCGCGCCCTAATGCTTCCGAAAGCTAGTCCTTATCAAGTTTAGCGGATCTATCAACATTTCGGAGCGCGGATCGTAACCTTTGAACAAAAAGTCCCAACGTGCCACTCGAGTTGAAGGTTCCTGAGAATACCTAATTGTTTGTCAATTTTTCTCCATTCCTTTACATCCTCACGACCTTCTCTTGTACTTCTTCGCTGAGGTATTCCCCCCTTATTACACACCCTCATCTTCAAGATGTCACGAATCCTACGACCAGCGTCTCGTTTCGTTTCTTCAGCCCGCCCTACACGAAGTGCTTTTAACTCATTCTCCCGACTACCGGCCATTGTTCAAAGCAGAGGATATGCAAGTGAGAGTGGCGTTAAGGAATATACAGTCAGAGAGGCCTTGAATGAAGCCCTGGCGGAAGAATTGGAGTTAAATCCAAAGGTTTTCGTTCTGGGTGAGGAAGTCGCCCAATACAATGGCGCATACAAGGTCACCAAGGGATTACTGGATCGTTTTGGTGAAAAGAGAGTTATTGATAGTCCTATTACCGAATCGGGTTTCTGCGGTTTGACTGTCGGTGCTGCATTGGCAGGTTTACATCCAGTGGTAAGGACTTTTTTTTTTCTTTTTCCCGTTTTCGGCTGGAGGTCTATTGAGATAAGAGAGAATAATGGCTAAATACCAATCCTACAGTGCGAGTTCATGACTTTTAACTTCGCCATGCAAGCCATTGATCAAATCGTTAACTCCGCCGCCAAAACTCACTACATGTCCGGTGGTACCCAACCTTGTAACATCACATTCCGCGGACCCAACGGTTTTGCATCTGGTGTCGCAGCACAACATTCACAAGACTATTCTGCATGGTACGGAAGCATCCCCGGTCTCAAGGTCGTCACTCCATGGAGTGCCGAAGATGCCAAAGGATTACTTAAAGCCGCTATCCGCGACCCCAACCCTGTTTGCGTACTCGAGAACGAATTGTTGTACGGCCAATCTTTCCCTATGAGCGAAGCTGCCCAAAAGAATGATTTCGTCATTCCTTTTGGTAAGGCTAAGATTGAGCGTGCTGGAAAGGATCTCACCATCGTTACTTTGTCCCGCTGTGTCGGACAATCTCTTATCGCAGCTGAGAACCTTAAGAAGAAATATGGCGTCGAAGTCGAAGTTATCAACCTCCGATCCATTAAGCCTTTGGACGTCGAAACTATCATGACCTCCCTCAAGAAGACCCACCGTCTTCTCGCTGTTGAGTCGGGTTTCCCAGCTTTCGGTGTCGGCGCTGAGCTACTTGCCTTGACCATGGAGTTCGGATTCGATTATCTCGATGCCCCAGCTCAAAGAATTACTGGTGCCGAAGTCCCCACACCATATGCACAGAAATTGGAAGATCTAAGTTTCCCCAACGAGCAGTTGATTGAGAACTACGTCGCCAAGATGTTACGGTTGTAAGAAGATGAAAGTTTTAGAGGACATTATAAAGATGGTGGGCAAGGCTTGGGAGGGATGAATGACGTGTATTAAATAGCATACTTCTGGCAAATATACCAATAGGACCTTTTGTTTCAACCCGTGCCATCCAAATTTGGATATCGACGGAAATTCAATAGCTAATTCTCTGCTACGTCTTCCTTTCCGGTCAAAATTACTTGTCATGCCGAACATCGCCACCATAATCTTCGGGTAGTCAAGGGGCTGACTTCTCACTTCCCAAACCACCACCGGATTACTCAAACCCATCTAGGATATCCATACTATTTGAACCCCCGGAGCCTGTTGTGTTCATGATCACTTAAACATTCATACCACATGGATGTTCAAATCTTGTGGGACATCCCTCACCATTCAACGATTTTAGAACTACTGTAACATGGAGGCCCACCCAGGCATGAATTGGATACGGGATATTGTCACTCAATCCTGATGTTTCTATATTGGTATGATATGTTGTGCTGTTGGTGCAAAGACCTATCCGACGCGCCTCAAACTCCTCATAAGGATTGCTCCGCTCCGCTGCACATCAAAAGATTACTCCAAAAATCAATCTCATCCCAAAGCCGTGTTCCGTCATCCCGAGTGCATCCTCAAAATAACAATAGCCAACACTTAGACACCCATAGTGAAATCATGCTCAATACCAGGTGTCACACTTGCCATGAACTGTAGTTGTGTAAGTATATTCCCGCCGAGATCATGTATAAAATACCTTACCTTCAAAAACACAACGAGATACTGGTCCACACGAATAGCAACCTCTTCCTCCTCGCCATGAAAGTCTTGATCATGTTGTAATACCTCCCACTCATCATTCCCGTTCCCTCCAGCTTTCATACCTTCCAAGATGACCTTCTTGTCACCAATCTTGGTCTTCTCAAAATCATCGACTAGACCCTCCATTCCGGTATCTTTTGCTCCAGGCACTGTCTTGCCTTGTCTTTGTTTCTCTCGGCGGAGTTTTAAGGCTGCGTCTGCGCGATCCAATAGGGTTTTCATGACACTCGCGTGCCTGCAAGGATGGATGGAGGCCATCTTGATGTTATTGCTAAAGTATGGGAAGTCTTCCAATGTGACGGTTTTGTCTTTATAATCACCTACAATATCCTCCATCATAAGGTGCGGTGGAAGGGGCTGTGAGCTTGAGAGGTATCCTGAGAGGTATAGTCGAGGAGTTCTATAGTAGGGCGTGTATGCAATGTAGATAGTATATGTTCGACGAGATCTGATTGGTGAAAATATCAATATATGGGCATCAGACTTGTTTCTGGCTGCAAAAGAAATACTCACGAATTCGCATTGTCAGCCCTAGGATCACGAATTATAGCTTCCTCGTCATCATCTTCATCCTCCATATCTGGAATATCATCCTCATCATCTTCTCTTTCGCCCATCTCGCCACTCTCATCTACCGTTCTCACATCTCTTGCTCGTGCTTCTTGACTGGCGGCCAGTCCTCCAGTTCTTAACCAACCATCTTCATCATCACCTGGAGAATGTGGACCGGCACCTCTGAAATCCTCTCCATCCCCTACGACAGTTTCATCATGTCCCGCTTCGCCTGCGAAATCATCGTCGAGTCTGCGGTGACAAGGCACGCCACGTGTAACTAGAAACTGCTTGCCAGCCGGTAGGTAACTGGCGCGCTTGCTTGTTGGGGATGCATCGGCCCAAGACCATGTTGGGAATTTGAATACGAGATAATCTCCTGCTGCTACAAATTCTTCCGGTGTGATTTGTCCGTTTGTGCGAAAGGTAGAGGTATTAGATACTGGCGTAAACTCGCGGAGACGATCGAGAGTACTATGAAGGAAGTTCATGATGGCGGGGTTGCTTCCTTTGAAGTTGAGCGGGGTTCTCAAAGATCTTGCGAGAGAGGTTATTTTTATTTATTTCGCGATGTGTATCTGCTGTATGGGCTTTGTTTTATGTGTTGAAAAGGTTTTAGACGTTTGCCTGAATGCAAGCTGGACTTTATAAGAATGTGGGTTTGGTGAATATGGTTGAATCAATGGCAGATGAGAGAGATACTCTTATCGATAAAGCCGATAACCCATGTGACCTCCTTGGCCTTGTGTTGCTTATATAATATATTCAGATTCACAGATTAGGTTGTTGCTCGCTCAAAGAAAAGGACAAAAAAACGTGACTCCCAATTCCGGAAGACAACAACTATACCGGTACTCGATATTGGATTGGACTTAATCATTTCTATTTGCCGGAGAATTATATCAAATTATATACTCTAGTTATATTATAGAGTCATTAAGGAGACGATAATTATCTAATATATATTATTATAATATTCTTTTCTTATCTAGAAATCTTATATTTTAGTCTTTTTTTAACTATTTTTCTAATATCTTTTTCCTTTATTAATTTCTAATATATATTATAATATTATTTTATTATCTAAAAGTCTTATATTTTGATCTCTTCTCTAATTATTTCTCTAATATTTTTTTTTTCTATTAATTCCTAATATATATTTTGATATTGTTTTATTACTTAGAAATCTTATATTTTAGTCTTTTCTAACTATTTCTCTAATATCTTCTTTCTCTATCAATTTCTAATATATACATATATATATTATAATATCATTTCAGTTTTCTATAATTGTTTTTCTAATATCTTTTTCCTCTATTAATTCCTGATATATATTATAATATTGTTTCATTATCTACTCGAGTAGAAAACTTATATTTCAATCTTTTCTATAATTGTGTGAGGGATCACAAGCAGGGAATAGGCCGGATAGTATCAGTGCTACAGTTGGGGTATAGTTTGTACAGAACTGAACTCATACCACTGCCATGGTGGTATGAGGGTAGTTCTTTATAGATTTCAGTACGAACTAACTAATAAAGAACAAAGGATATGAAAGGATACTTTGTATCCTTTTATATACACGCTTTTCCGGCTAGTCCCGGAAGGGGATTAGTCTCTACGCGGTGACAAATTGTTTCTCTAATATCTTCTTTTCTTACTAATTCCTGATATATATTGTGGTATTATTACATTGCCTAGTAGAAATCTTGTATTATAGTCTCCTCCCCTACCCATTCCAGATGTATACTTTAACATTGTTTCATTGCCTAGAAATCTTGTATCCCTGTCTCTCCCCCGACTGTTTTCTCAATATCTTCTTCCCCTACCCATTCCGGTTCTTCATCCTCAAACCATTGATCTTCAACGTCCCTGTTCTCTATCTCATCCCATTCACCACCAGCGTCCACATCTGTGTAATCGAAATCTTGATCCTCCCCTCTGAGAAATTTAAGTGTCATCTCAAATTTCCACCTCTCTAAGCCCTCCTCCTTATCCTTTGGAACCTCATCCGGGTCTTCAGGTAAAACTTCACCACTTTGACCTCTTACATAGCTCAAATATGGAACTCCGTGATCTTTCTCAATGTGCCCGGTACCATTATCTTCATCTTTCGACGAAAATTCAAGATTGCCTTTCAACGCAGCAAGTTTAGCTTCTGACCGATAAAGATCTGCTTCCAAAACGCCTGGTAAAGACTTTTAGTACATCAGAAGGATAGAAAGAGGCCAAAATCATTGAAGATTCGCCTACCAGAATAACCTTTGCCTCTTCCATCTGCTTCTCTTTCCGCAGCAGACTGATACCTCCTAATGCATCGGTCATATAATAATGGATCTGAATAAGATTTAGTTTTCATCTAGTTTTCTTTAGTATAGCAAGAATTAACCTGCAAGCTCTAGGTCCGGAGCTGTGAAATATGATGGATGGCGATCGAGATATAATTTTCTGCGGTTCTTGATCTGAATGCGAGCTGAACGTTCTGCAGAATCTTGTGTTTGTGATTCGGATGTACCGATATTAGGCTCTCTGTGAGGCATGACGGATAGGCTGAATGTTGTTGGGGATATGGATGGATGAATTCTGAAGTCATGCGTAGAAGATTCAGGTGGCGAGATTGGTTGAATGAATATTCGTTTGTTTGTCAGTATGGTTACCATTCACAATACTCGAGTAGTAAAATCAACCAGACCAAAAGTTTGATACAAGATGATTTGATAGTTATGTGAAATGTACTCATGGGTGCGTTGTGTTGCGTTGTGAAAGTCCGAATGATGTTGGTTTCGTGGCAATGAAGTATTTTATGACTGGCCTCGGCTAGGCTAGACTTCCTCAGTTCGAAATTCCTACCAGTACATACAATGATAAATAAGCAAACATATAAATTTCAATAATCTACAAATCTACAAATCTATAATACGTCAATACAATAGCTCTCCTATCTTCAATATGACTACGACTCTTCATGAAATAGCACTTGAGCCTCCGTTTATAACCGTCGAAGGTATTCCCAACTTTCGAGATCTGGGCGGGTATCCTCTCGCATTGGAACCGAATTCCCATTCCGTACGACAAGGAGTTATCTATCGCTGTGGCGAGCCCCAAAGAGTTACCGATAATGGGATAACTACTATGCAGCAGCTGGGGATCACTCATATATATGATTTAAGATCTCAGGCTGAGCTTAATAAAAATGCGGCAGCTGGTAGGGGAGGAGTGGTAGAGTGGGAGGGCTGTCAGCGGGTGTTCACGCCAGTGTTTCTGGAGCAGGACTATAGCCCGGAGAGAATTGCCATTCGATTTAGGGATTATGCTTCAAAGGGTACCGAAGTAAGTTTTCTTGAGTTAGAAGCTGTATAGAGAAAGTATAACTAAGTGATATTCTAAAGGGGTTCACTCGGGCCTATACCGATATCTTGAACAATGCTCCAACCTCATACCGGACTATCCTTCTCCATCTTGCAAACGAACCTTCCAAGCCCCTGATCGTCCATTGTACGGCTGGTAAAGATAGAACCGGTGTTCTTTGTGCATTGATACTATCCCTCTGCGGAGTGGACGATGAGGTTGTGGCTCAGGAGTATAGTTTGACAGAATTTGGGCTTCCGCAAGAGTGGAAGGCAGGAATCATCAAGCATTTAATGGAACACCCGGCCATTAAAGATGATCATGAAGGAGCAGCGAATTTAATTAGTTCCAAGTATGTTAGATCCCCCTCCCCCCATCTCCCCCTCAAGGATTACATATTACTAACAAAAGCTAGAGCTGAGAACATGCTGGCTACCCTTGAGATGCTACATGAGAAGTTTGGTGGGGCAGAAGGATACGTAATAGAGAAGTGTGGTCTTACGGTTAAGGAAGTAGATAATATTCGCAAAAACTTGATCATAGAATCCCCGGCTGTTCACAAAGTCTCTTATTAGAAGAATAATAGAAATCGCTTTCAACATCAATTGATACTCGAGAGTAAATCTTACTCGTACTTGTATATCTCTCTCGACATTCTAATAAACACGTGCCCCTCTCGCTTAGCCTCTTCTTGGAGCTTTGATCCCGAAAGTGCAACTTCGAATTTTCATCTACCTAGGGACCCCACGGTTTCCACCAACTACCTTTAATTATCTTCTTTCACCATCTCAATTGAGTCTATTTATCATGAACACTTCTTCAAGATGCCCAAATCTACTCGCGTCTGGGTCAGCTTATGCAAAATCTTTTCTTAATCAAGTGCCTTTGCGATCCTTTTCGTCGACCCCTCCACAAAATGTACGAAAAGCTACCAGAGCAAGGCGAGCGCTCTTCAGGTGGCTTGGCACACAAGGAGAGAACTTCAGACATCCATTAGAAAACTCAACAAATTATATAAGCGCCTACACTATGGATGGTAAATTAAAGAGAGTCGTGGAGGCTGGAGCGGATGCGAAGGAGAGAGGTCCAACACCTGAAAGTCAAGACGAACCCGATGCGGCTGGCAACAAGAAATTACCGGAGCCATCATTGAGAGATATGCTACCATTCCCAGGCAATCGAAAGTTCATAAGTCAATCTGTGCTGAGTGAAGAAATGCGAGAGCTCATTTGGACAAGAATCATGCAAGATGCTCAGTCGGTGAGAGAAGTGAGTGCCGACCTTGGTGTCGAAATGAGTCGTGTGGGAGCAGTCGTGCGTCTAAAAGAGTTAGAGAAACAATGGGAACAATTGGTACGTTTGCAAGTCTTTACTTTACACCACGACATACTTTATGATGATTTATAAAATTCGATTAGTCTTCAAGACAACTACATGGTTACAAAATTATGCATGCGAGCCTCTCTGAAAGTTATTTGTATATGTGTTTGGATTTAGATCTGTCTCCAACATCGAGCTAATCATCATCGTCACAGGGGAAACCTCTTGCAAGGCCATACGCTGACGCTGTTATGACAATGGTTCCATTAACTCACCTAAGTCCAACAGCCACACACGAGTCGATTAATGATCTACCTGTTCACGTAGCAACTGGACAACAGATTTTTCACCCCACTTCAGAATCGAGACATTTCACGCGAGAGGATGCTGCAAAGATCTTCAGCGAGAAACTCCTCCCTGCAGATAAAAGAATACCACATCCCGAATTGATTGAGATGCACAAAGACTACAAAGCTGGATTGTCCCGAGAAGAACGAACCGCGCGGAAAGCTGCGAGAGATGAAGCGGAAGATCAAGTGAGGCAACGTATAGCTAATCGCAAGGCGAACGAGAACGCCAAGATAACGAAAGTCAATACACCGAGATGGGAATTCAGGATTAAGGAAATTAATGTTGACGACATTGGTAAAGATGGTAGAGGAGCGCAGGGAACAGGCTGGAGGTATGGAAGGCCTTTGATGGACAGAAAGAGAGGACAGGTCAAGATCCCTACAAGTGTCCAATAACGATGTTGAAAACTTCATCATAAATGTATATTCATGGAGTTTTGAGGTTAGGGGGGTTATCATGACATTAGCGACCATTTCGGGCGCGTACTTGTACATTCATTATCTATTATCTTGTACGATACCAAAGAGGATTGAGGATTGAAGGATTTACATTTCAGATCAGATGTGTAAATTATCGTTATATCTCTTGAGTACCTAGAAGTACTTGAGGAATCAAATCATCTAAAGATGACAGTTTCTATTGATGTGATACTTACTCATCAATGGAAGAGATGCAGATACAGATGTAGATGTGTAGATGTAGATGCGGATATCGATGTACTCGAATAGATATATGTATACGAGTATTGTTGCCGCCTCTTTATAATAATTATAAATATTACAATTATTATATCGAGTAGTAAATAATGAATACAGTAGGACCATAATAAGTTATTATTCTCTTTTTTTCCTTAAGCCTTTTTTTTCACTTTCTTTTTCGCTTAGTAGCCCTAATGAAGCTTAGTGCGTTTTTGAGTCGCGGTGCCTATGATGGGCGTGGCATACAAAAGGGCCTGATAAATCCCAGAGATTCCCGCAGACGAAACCCGACTCTGGAACTTTTTGACTTCACTTTCTGCCTGACATTTTGAAGGCTCAACAGAAAATACGACTACAACACCACGTCACGTGTTTTTCAAATAATTGAAAAAAGGAAATCATTTTCGAGATCCTTCATTAAATTAAATTCAACAAAAAGCAAATTATCTATTGACTAATTTACATTTTTCAAAACTTTTATCATTCTGTTTCCTTTCTATTCTTTTCATTAACGCATTCGAAATTCAAAATGTCCGACAGGGAATTTTCAAGTAAGTCAAGTGAATATTTTATGTCACGTGGTTGGTCACTTTCAGAGGTGAAATTGAAGGAAAGGGGACGGTTTTGAATAAGTGGTTCAAGAGGTTATCCTAAATATAAGCATCTTTGGCAGTCAAAGATCAAATCCTCGGTTTCAATCCCATCAAACCCTCCAAACCAGAATCAAAATGCAGACATACTGCGATAACGCGGATTCAAGTGCTTCCTTCCTTCTCCTTTATATTGCCATATGTTAATTAAAGAGCTTAAGGATTATAACTAATGCACCTTCTTTATAGGTAACGATGATCTATCTCTTCCAAAAGGTAACACTTCTTTCTTTTTCTTCAATACTTATTATCATCATTGTTATCCGTAACCATGGACAACGATTGCGGTTGCTCTTCCCGCGCAAGGGGGGTGAGCAAAGCACCAATCCTCACTGGCGACTATAATATATCCTGGAATCATATATTATCAGCATCATCATGTCGAAAATGCACCCAAGGCAAGAAAACAGACTTTAGTTCTTCGGCTAAACAGTCGAAATCATCAACTGCTTCGGAAGCCCCATACTTTCCCTTCAAAAAGTCAGATCATTACTATGGTGACTTAGATTCAACTCATGTCCCATTGTCATTCTTATATCATAAGTCACCTTATTTGTATAAGAAACGCACTTCATTGGCGGAGGCTGCGGTACCTGTTCCTCATAGAACATCAAGTCTAGCTTTCAGATCATCATCCAAGAATTTGAAGAAAATGGGTTCGGTTCAGGAGTTACTTCCAGCTTCACCTGAAGCCTCTGGCTCCCCCGGGTTTTCGTCTAGTCTTAGCTTTGGTACCAAGCATCTCGAGCATGTGCAGAAAGTACTGGAAGATATCCGAACATGGCACAAGGAGGTCTCCATATCAATCGCGAGATCACATCCTCGAAACGCCAAGGACTGCCACCAAAATAATGTCAACAACATTCCATCGCAGGATTCTCATGACCACCGGACTCGATATCTTGAAAGCACATCTATGAATACTCTACAACAAAACGCTTCGTGGGCTCGCGTCTTTAATGGAGACAACACAACTTCTCGAAGATATACTTCTAGTTCACTTTGTCCTGGATCCAATGAAATTTCCTCTACTTGGAGAACTGATCCCATTCCATCCAGTATCTACAAACCAAAGCCGATACATAGTATTGGGACCCGGCAAAATCCTCGACCAATACCTAGCCCAAGGACATCCAGCCTTGGTGCCACGATGGGACCAAGACGAAGAAACGCCGTCCGCGGTCGAATCCTTCCACACCCAGTCTCCATTATCTGTTCAACCTTAAAACAGCATTCACACCAAGCGCAATTCACCGGAAGCTCTCCGGGCGATTTGGTTCTAGATGATTATTCTGGGGACCGCGAAAGCGCTTTGATCAGTAAAGAGGAGAATACCAAAACCGAAACTATCCACTTCCCAGCTGTTATTTTTACACAGTCAAAGTTGCCCATAGATTCGCCGGATCATCCATGCGAACATCCAGAAAGCCACAAAAACGGGCTTCCTTATAGCGGTACTGTCATCAGGCTTTCCGCAAGGCACTCAAGTCTGCAATCTAGCGAGCCAACCTTTGAAACGCTACCTTTCCAGAACGACGAGGAAGAAGAAAAGTCTAGACATCATATTGCATTTGTACATTCAGCACTACGAAATTTGGTACCGTTCGAAGTCTCCGACTATCTCTACAGAGTTTCACAATCGCCTGAGGCTTCCGATTATCCTGGAGAGGCTTTCTTGGACGATTTTGCAGTCACAACATCTCCATATATCAAATCTAATTCTGGTTACCAGTCTTCTGAAACACTTGGGCAGGATGAATGTTGTAATCCTGGAGACAAGTTGTCTCCGAAGAGAGTCTCGAATGGACGTCCTCCCACACAACCTGTGGATATAGTTAATACCACGAAGACGTGTGCACCAGGCACAGCAATTTAACCGCAATCGCCTCCCCACCAAGAATTAGCCTTGGCTTTGCCGTCTTTCTCTTCCGCCAATTTCTTTTCCCTATCTCAAATATCCACTAACCCCTAGTCTCTCTAGCGACCGTCCAAAAGATAGTAACCGAAATCCTCCCAGCCAGCTCCGGTCTTGCCTTCGGCAAAGATGCCCGCGATCTGCTTATCGAATGTTGCGTCGAATTCATCACCCTCATCTCATCCGAAGCAAACGAAATCTCCGAAAAGGAAAGCAAGAAAACCATTGCCTGTGAACATATTACGAAGGCTTTGGAACAGTTGGGCTTTGGGGAGTATGTTAAGGATATTGTGGAGGTGGCCAGTGAGCACAAGGAACAATTGAAGGTATGTCTGGTTTTCAGCCCCTTTTACAGACGAGTGAAGGTGTACTGATCAAGGAAAATTGTAGGGAAGAGAGAAGAAAGCAAATAAACTCGAACAATCGGGTCTTACGCCAGAACAATTATTGGCAATGCAGGAAGAAGCTTTTAGAGATGCAGCACAACGTCATGGTTGATTGTCGTGTTATTCTTTTTATTTCTACTTCTTCGCTAAGATCAGGTTTGAGTTCGAGCTGCTAGGGATGGATCGGGGAGTTTTGGTGTGCATGCATGGCTGGTTGGTGGGCGTTTTATTTGGTAGGGTAATAGGGGGTGGTGAGGGATTTCTTCTTTCTTGTTTGTGCAGTGGTAGGAGAGGAGACAGGAGGTGAATGTTTGCCGTGGGTGACGAAGGGAGTGGTGGTGGGGATGGGTTAGACAGATTGAGATTGTTCGCGATGGTGGGTTGCTTGTGCTTGTACTACAGTGCGCTAAAACAAACGTGGAAGTTATATGAGCATTGTGCTTGATTTTTGAGTCATTGGGATACATTCCTACTAGTAGTGATCAACTTATTTAGAAAATGACAGTGGCGCTAATGCCACCCCTGTCGCCAATGCCCGAAACGTCTCTAATTGGCGAATCTTTGCGGATGCTAGTACTACTACTACTTGTACGCATCTTAATACTAGTTCAGGTAGCTACGGACTTGAATTGTCAGATTCAACGGTTAGTAGATACTAGATGTAAATATTTGAATCTACACTCGATGAACCTAAACTTGCATTAGTATCCTTATTTGAGAACCTACCTGTGATAAGACTAGACTGCATGTTTGATTGCAGCTTGGCTAGCTATTGTAAAAGGAGGATGCTTGATTTCATCTTTCGAGGCCGTGTGACAAACCGATTTATAACTTTGGCCCGAGAAGTGGCTAATATCTACTAAAAGGATAAGATTCAATGCTTAGGTATTATAACCTTACTGAGGGTAAAACCCAGATTCCACGAATCTCGGTTTCGACGAGCTCGGATTTTCAGTGATATTGTATTCCCCTCCTCAGTGCTCCCTTCCTCTTCTCCTCTCCTCTCCTATCCCGCTCCTAACCAATGGAAAAATGAAGGTTTCCTATCCTGCTCCTAACCTCTGAAATATCGCGCTCCTTCCTATCCTTAGAGCTAGGATAGGAGAGGGAGGGGAAGGGTTTCTTTTGCGAGGGGGGCGGGGGAGGGTTTGCCATATATGATTGGATAGATGAAAGATTATATAATCAAAATCTTAACTTAATCGTACGATAACTTTCAGAATAGCATCGTTTACACATTTTTGATATTTTAGTACATTTTAAAATACTCCTTCCTACTCCAAACCCTAATTTAAACTATTCCTATCCATTCCTAACCTCATTTTCAACTATTCCTCTCCACTCCTCTTCTGAAAAAAATTTGACCACTCCTTCCTGCTCCTAGCCCTAGGCGCCGGCGAGCGTATCCTATCCTACAAGGCAGGATAGGAGAGGAAGGGAAATCAATATCACTGCGGATTTTGGATATCCACATTATATAGCCAAACAACCCAACCATTCCAAAGTGGTAAAATGCCATGCTCAGGACCAGCCGGAGCAATAATCGTATTCTTAAACTATCCCCCCTCCCTCCCCCTTTTCGTCTCGCTACCCATATCCTATCAAGAATTTCTAAGTTACCAATGCAAATTCGGACAACCATGTCTCTCCATCTTCGATTCGAATCACACTCAAATAACATGTGGTACGCGACATCAAAACCGGCAATAGAATCCACATCGGTGATGAGGTTTCCGAGAAAAATGGGTATTTTACGCGGTTTGGAATTGAGATTCTAGATGATTAAGGGAAAAAAGAGAGGGTTGATGGGCTAATTTCAGGTTTGTTGGTGGTGGCAAATCCGGACTTGTAGACGCCGGTTTTTATGATATCGTATACCCATTTATTCATAGCTTCGCGTTTGCGTCACCACAGGACTAGGGCGGTAAAGCGACTGGTATAGTTGGGATTGGTTTTGTAATATAATTATGAGTGTTTGATGAAGCCATAGAGGAAATTCCATACTTTTGAGGTAGGTCCATTATAAATCCTAGATATCATTGTCAACTCTATGTCATTCAACGATATTGTTTTGTCGTAGGTGTGCATTACCAGCCATTAGGGGTTAATGTGTACCCTATGGTTACCAGCTGGATCACAGTCTCCAGGTTCTTCAGTTTATGAACGATACTGGTGCAATGAGCCCTGGTCGGGCATTAATAAGATGCCAGTGCATCGTTATGCGAAAGATAAAAATCGTCGAGGGAACCTCATCAAGGACACTGATTCAGATAGAGCACGTATCTTCCCTTTTCGGCCGGGGAATTAGGCATCGGGTCTAATGTTTACCCAATCACGGAATTAGCTATCTTTTCTGAGAAAGGGGCCGTCCATACCTGCTAATTTGTAGATGTCCAATTTGCTGTCTTGGACTGAGGTCGTGTCATCTCCCATGATAGAGTTTTAGTGTTCGATAATTGGCGGGAAGAAGAAGCAGGATTGCAAAAAGGGAAATGCTTTCGTAATCCGGGTCTAGAGAAAAGCTACTAGTAGTTGTAGGGTGCAAATGAATCAACCACGTCGGCTTGTAAACTGAAACTGGTTCCTGAATACCAGATTCAAGATACACCATCATGACCGAGATTCAAACCTTTCATTGAAATAACAAGGTAAGGGGACCCTTTTGTGCAATTGTACAGCCAATAGATCCAGAACATATCATGGAGACCTTTTCCAGTTCATGGGAACTTCGGAAATTCCGTCACGCAGACCAAAATTAATTTTTGTACGATGGAGGCTTGATATTGAAAGAATTACCATTTCAGTGCCGAAAGGAATGTACATATGCACAAAAGTCCAAAAGTCCGTGTTAATGGCATCACCATTGGTATAGTGTATCAATGAGACCAGTTCTCTTTTCACCAAAAAGCCCACATCTTGACATTTTCTTGCCTAGTGGTAAGGACTTGGATTTGGAATTGAACTGGGATAGGGAAGAGGCGGTGATGGGATACCAGTGTATCCAATAGACCAAGAGAATAACCAGTAGTCCGTCCAGTGCGGACTAGATATGCTAAAAATGTCACGTTTTTATCACAAAGATTATGATTTTGCCTATAAAAAACTATATTTTAACGGTTAACCTGTGATATCAAAAGCCCAACTAGTCTGAATATTTATCTAGTCTAGACTAGCATCCTGAAGATCTTAAGACTAGCTGGACTATTGGATATGGTCTACCCCATTCGTCGATATGTCCCATCCGTCGATATCGACGGGATACAACTGTGGGATACCGAGGAAGATGCAAGAAGAATAATAACACCCGACATGAGATTCATCAGAACTCAAGAATTTCCCGAGCATCCGCTCCGACCGATCCGAACCTACTGGCCGTTTCACTTCGAAGAAATCCAATATGGCAATTTATGTTAGTTTATCCAAGGGTACTCGCTTGAGGTTTTGAATGGAGTCGATTTTGACTATGTTCTCGAGCAATATAAAATATAACCCCAATGTATTGAAAGATGACGGCCAGGACCTTTTCAAGGCCTAAATCTGACTTCTAGATCACCGCACTCAGATCAAAACAATAAGACACAATACCAACAGTTTTTTATTTTTTTCCTTTCACACCACAATCTAGGTATCCCCATAAACAAAAACACCCTTGCCATTCCTAAATCCATCCAACGTTCCTCTCACTGCGGACTTCAAAACATCCTCCTTCGTGTCCCAATCCCACTTGAGTTCTTGGACCGGAATATCCTTAAACATCCCCAACCTCGTCATCTCCAAAATTTCATCGACAGTTCTCTTCTTCTCGTCTGGGTTCCCATCACTCCACCTGCTAACCCAATACCCACTGAATTTGATATCCTTGAAAATCAACGCTGCCGTCGAGATCTCCAACGGTTTCTTCGACATTCCTCCATATGTAACCAAATGTCCTCCATTACTCAAACATTTGACCAGTGCACTCGTCGCCTTCCCACCCACACAGTTCAACCCCACACGAACCTTTTCCCTGCCCCCATTCGTCCATTCCTTGACTTGATCTCTGAAACCTTGAGCCATCAATTCCGATTCCGTCACCACTTTCGTAGCACCCAATTCCAACAATTCCTTCTTCATCGCCTCAGTCTCTTCAACATTCTCTCGATCCCGTATAATGTTGATACTCCTGAGCCCCCACCTCCTCCCCAACTGTATCGCCGCCCTCCCCACCCCACTATTCGCTCCATTCTGTATAAACCAATCTCCCTCCACCATAGACTCAAAATCTCTCAACATTCTATAAGCCGTGCATGGGTTGACACTTACAGTGCCCACTTGAATTGGTTTCAAGCCCTCTTTATTGCCAATCTTGAGGACCTGGGATTCTTCCGCTATAGCATGCGTTCTCCAGGTTCCAAATCCAGTTGATTTCATAATGACCCAATCGCCTTTTGTAAGAGTAGAGATACCGGGCCCAAGTGACATGACTTCGAAACAACCTTCGTTACCGCCGACGGCAGAGGGAGACGCGGTTCCAAGGAGGCTGGTGAAGGGGGGACGGGAGGGGTAGACTCCTTGTATTTGGTTGATATCGGCGGGGTTTATGGGAGTAGCGAGGGTGCGAAGAAGTATGGATTTTGAGGGAAGAGAGGGGGAGATGGAGTGGTTGTGAAGACTACGTTTTCATTGTGATTAGAAGTTGAAAAATTAAACGGAATGTGAACAGACAGAAAAGGTAGAATGAGCAAGGAAACTTACGATAAAACATCCGCCGGTTCCCCATATTTCGAATACACAAGTGACTTAGCTTGTGTATAACCATAAGGACCAGATTTATATCTACGAGTTATCGAGCTCCCCAACTGATTATGTTTGCTTTGTCTGCTCAAAACTCCAGATACAAATCCTTTGGAGCTTGTTGCTGTCGAGTTAGCTAAAGCTCTACAACTGACAGGAGTGGCCATCTTCAATTATTGTACTGAAGTATCTTGAAGATAAGATATGGTGTGTACGAATGAATGAATAGGAGGGTAGGAGGGTAGGAGGGTAAGAGGGGTTGGAGGGGTTGAAGCTATCTCTACCAACATAAACATATAAACATACGGCCCGCGGCTGTGTTATGACGTTTATTGCCGAGCTTCCAAGTACACACAACCCCGAACCCTTCGAATTACAGGGGATGATCAGCCCCAAAATCTAAGGTATTACAGCACGTGGCTCCCGTGATTACAGGGTTAGAAAGCCCACTCACTTTTTGCCTAAATTCGGAGAAAAAGGGGATTCGGGTTTGGATCCATCATATTGTGAAAACTATACTACTCGAGGACCCGTTTGATCAAGAGCCACAAAACTCTAAGGCGATATTAGATGGCCACCAAGAAACCTAATCATCATGAAATGAGTAAGAAAGAGACCAAGAACCCGCTACTATATTTTGTTCAAAAAAGGCTAAATAAATATGAATATGAATAACTTTGGTACCCCAACAAAAACTACCATGGCATATGAAGCCCACATTACAAATGTTGTTTTGTTTAATACTGTAGGTCCTCGTGAAATAAGACCCTTATGAAGACCACCACCCAGAGATATCATTGATGAAAAAGAAGGGCGCCCTGCCTAACAAATGAATTAAATGGCATTTTTGTCCCATATATTGGACCTGATTCATAGCGTATCTGATTCCTTCTTCTTCTTCTCCTCCTCCCCTCCCTTCCCACCTCTCGGTTCGTATCGTTGGAGGTATAGCAATTCCTGCCCATACTGCAACATTCAGGTCGTAGCATATAGCAATACCCAAGAGCATCAGTTGTTATCCCATAACCATCCCACACAATCTCTCACTACGAGATATTTCTAAACATCTCATCACCACCCAAACTACCACGATCATCATCCGCAATCTTCGCCTTCAGCTGATTGAGCTCGGGTAATTTTGGCGGCGGTGGACCTGGCTTCGTATACACCGGTTTGGTATTCTCCTTTTGAATCTCCGGACTCTGCTGTAGAGTAGGAGTATACACCACCGGCTTATCCTCATACAACACACTGTTCCTCTTACTGCTACTTCCAAAACTCCTAAACCAACTTCCGCTCTTCCGCTTTACAAAACTAGGTCTGCTGCTCGCGAGGCTATTCGGGCTCTCCGGCCTGCCCATCTTCGTCAAATCCTCATGCGATTTCGCATTCCCATTTGTGTAATTTGTGTTGAGTGATTTTCGAGACAGGAATTTGCGGATACTGCTTTCTTTTTCGGGTCGCGTGGGACTGTTCGAAATAGCAGCGTCTGAAGGTGCTCTCACGCGTACGGGGGGAATATTATTGCGAGGAGACGGTGCAGTAGATGGGAAATAGCCAATAGATTTCGTTGCGGTAAGGTTGGAAAAGCCATTAGCATTCGTTGTGGTATGGTTAGAAAAGCCATTAGATTTGGTCGCGGTAAGGTGAGCAAAGTCAGATTGACTATTTGCCGATGCTGATGCAGGAGGTGTGCTCGTAGAGGTTGATCTAACGGGATCAGAGATCTGAGGAGCAGATGCAGGCGTAAGTACCGCAGGCGCAGGCGCCGGTGTAGCCGGTCTAATTATCTCTTCTTCTATGGGGGAATCCGGAAGTGGCGGCGGGATATCCGTCCCGTCTGTCAAATTGAAGTCGAAAGATGTGAGAGCAGGAAGTTCAAATCGCCCGTTGGGCTTACCATTAAGAGGCATGTCTGCGATGAATCTCTATCAAATGTCCAATCTTGACACAAAGATTGTAATGCGTGAATTGGAAGAGAGTGAAATGGGACCAGAGAATCCCGGAATTCACGATCACTTTCCTCAGAAATTGTAACCTGTGAATTAAGAGAGAGTGAAGTGAAGTGAAGTGAAGTGAACCGTAAAGTAAATCCTGAACTGTGAACCATGAAAGAGATGTAAAGAGAGGCTATAAACAAACTTGGCTCGAGCTTTACTTGCGATTGCCTGTTTGGGAATTATGAATTATGAATTATCCTTCAACTCAGGAAAATAAATCGCTGGGATTATGGGATTATCGAGGTGGCGGGTGAAATGAAAAATGATACCCAATATGTAAGTACTTGTCTGTATAGAGAGATGGGATGAGAGGTGAATGGTGGTGAGAGAGAGAGAGAGAGAGAGAGAGAGAGAGAAGAGAGAGATTGCAGACTGCAGACTGCAGGAAGAAATAAAACAAGTGTGTAACAAATTACTTGCATGAATTAAAAAATATTAGATAGAATTATAACCTTGTATAAATATAAATGTAAATGTCAATATGAACGTATAATAAGATAATTAGATAAAAATAATATATGTACAACACATTATTGTGTGTGTATCGTTTTCTCTCTCTCTCTCTCTCTCTCTCTCTCTCTCTCGTATCATATGGAAAAAGTGTCTAAGGTTTTGTCGATCATTTTGTTTCGTTGTTTCTTTCTCTCCACTTATACTTGTTGGACAGACAAGAAAATATTTGAAGGGCGGTGGAGAACCAATGAATACCGGTATGATATTTAGCAGTCAGTCAAAATCATTATTATGTATCATTGCATCCGAGGCTTCGTTGAGTCCCAACCCGACACTCCCCTGCATTGTCCAATAAAAATCGTCAGATGCGATGGTTTTCGAGGGAGCTAATGCAGCCGTTCGCGAAACTCTAATCACTGGTCAGGGGAGGGTTAACAAGTGTATTGCTTCGGTTATTCTCTATTGTACAGTATTCTCCACACGACTCACGCTAATTACGCCCCCTATTTCTACTCTACTCTCCTCGATTACCGATTACCGATGTATTTGCTGCGCGTGCCGTGTCGCAAAGATTTATATATAAGTTTCTTCAATTTTCAAATACTAACAGCACTATATATCCATTCTACTCGGCATGTCTACCCTGAGCTTATTCAACACTGCCTATTCCGAATCAGTTTCTACATATCTGCTCTATGACCGCTGGGCCGCAACTTACGACACAGACCGTAATCCTCTACAGATCCTCAACTCTGTCCTCATTCCCTTCTTACTGAATACACTATTCTCACTTCCATCCGATGGCCCAAATTGCCTTATAATCACCGACTTGGGATGTGGCCGCAATACTATCCGATTCCTCACACCACCTCTTGCAAAGAACATATCCAAAATTCACGCGCTTCATGTTTCACCCGCTATGCTTGAAATTGCTCAGTCTTGTTGCGCTTCCTTCCCCTCTGACAACGATGTTACTTGTCCCAGTATCCAATTCGATGAGTTCAATGCCCTTAATCTTCAAAATAATCTCGAGGCTTCGAAATTGATCAAAGGGAAAGCGGATATTGTGATTAGTACTCTTGTCCTTGGGCATCTCCCCTTTTTGCGTTCTTCTCAGCTGTAATCTTTCTACTCAAACCCGAATCGGAAGCGGACAATGGGAGACTATTAATCACCAATATGCACGCCGAGATGGTTAAATTATCTCAGGCTGGATTCGTGGAGGAGATCGAAGGAAAGAAAACGAAAATTAGAGGGGGAAAATTGGGGATTTCATATTGTAGGAAAGGTGCTAGAAAGAAGGATAGGAGAGGGGGATATTGGAGAAGACGGAAACGGACTAAAATCAGGGAGTAGGAGAAAGAAATGGATAGGAAAGAGGATGTGATTCGAGATGGTGTTGCAGTGGAAGGTGGAATGAAATAGCGCAGGGCTGAGAAATGAGTTACTCTATTGATCTGACGGTAAATACGAGTGTTTTTTTTTCTTTTGGAAATATAAAGAATCTTGATATTATCTCATTGAATGGGGTATCTTTTTTGCTCCGTAGATCGCTAGCTATGTACGTTGTGCATGAACGAATCATAATGCATAATGCAAAGGTATTCAGGAACTTTGCATAGCCAAATGAGAGAGGAAATATACAAACGCCTTGCGTCAATATACACGGTGCTCCTTTTTATATCATACATCGGCATGTATTGTATACACTCGAAACTGCCGCACCAAGAATCTCGGTCTTGAGGCAGGCATACTTTCAGGCACAGGTTCATGATTTATTGGATCATGACTATACATGTCTTGCTGTTTGAGTTGAGCTCTCGTCCCCAAACCTCAATTTTTCCCATTTATCCATGTTTTCTTCACAAACTTCTCTTTTATACTTCCTTTCTTTTGAGAAGCGCAGCCTTCGCTTCTCGGTGCGCTTTTCTCTGAGCATAAGCACCTTCTCAGAAGCGGTATCTACCCAAGAGAATTCTGTCCCTTTCGACTCTGTCCCCTTCCCTTCTGCTTTGTCCGCCTCCGCATTCCTCACTTCTGTCGTCAAGGCTGATATCTCTGCGTCCGAAGCTTCCAAGTCCATTACCTGCCATTTCTTGAAGTCCATGCTCCACCCATCGAGTATATGAGAAACCCACACCATTTCTATCATAGAGGCAATCTGTAAGACGCGACCATCGTCTGAGTGCTGGCCCATAATTTGTATGCCAGCAGTCGAAGGTCTGCTTTGCTTGTTGAATTTCCATGGCAATGTACATGGTATGCTTATGGAGGGTATACCTGCAAGACTGGCAGGTACTGTAAATATATCATTCACGTAAGCATCAACCGATGTTTGGCGCTTAGTTATATCTTCAACGATAGGGGAAAGAGTAGGAGCTGTTGGACAGAGAATAATATCTACTTCTGCAGGGCCCAATTTATCCTCGAGAGCAATGCCTTCTTCCATGTCACTAAGATCAAATTGTTCTTCTGGATGTAGATAATTTGGCATGGAGAAGACACGATCAAAATCTCTCTGTATCAATCGTCGAACTTTTTGTGCTTTGATGAAGTAATTCTCAGTGGCCTCGGAGCTTAATGAGTATGACCCAAGAAGAATTCGTCTCTTCACTTCGTCGCCAAAGCCAGCACCCCTGGTCTCAGAATAGAGGACATCTCCGGCCCCATCACTTGACTTCTCTCGAGTGCCGTACCTTACCCCATCATATTTTGAAAGATTGGAAGATGCTTCGGCGGCGGCAAGTAAGTAATATGCCGATAGAGCATGTTTGGTGTTGGGAAGTGATATTGGAATAATCGTGCATCCTTGACGCTGAAGAAGTGTTAACATTCGTTGCCACGCCCATGAAACTTCTAGGTCCAATTCAGAAATGTTGTATTCGATTGGAACTCCAATTTTCAGCTCTCGGAGGTAGAAAGAATCATGTGGGGAAGATGTTTTTGTTTTTCGAATGAATTCCATTCGTCTTTCTTTGATACGGGCTCGACTGGAGGACTTGAGACTCGTAGGATCCCGAGGATCATGATTGCTCATTACGGGAAAAACATCGCGAATTCGAATTGAACTGCGTGCTATTAAGCCAACGGTATCCAGTGAATTAGCGTAAGGCACTACGCCAAAGCGAGATACAATGCCATACGAAGGTTTAAACCCTGCGGTTCCTGTATAAGCAGCTGGCAATCTGACCGATCCACCAGTATCTGTGCCCAGTGCAAGATTAGTCGTACTCGTTGCCACAGCTATTGCACTTCCACCAGAGCTTCCTCCCACGGATCTCAGTCTGAAAGGCTTATGGTGACGCACAGCACCGAAATGTGAATTCAACGAATGCGACCCCATTCCAAACTCATCCATATTCGTCTTTCCCACGATATGTCCATGACGAGATTTAATACTTTCTACCACAGAAGCGTCGAATGGACTCCGGTATCGTTCGAGAGTACGAGATGCGCATGTTGTTGGCTCTGAAATAGTGGCTATATTATCTTTTACAGCGAAAATCCGCGATGCACGAGGTAGTAGTTTATGATAATTGCCTTGTACGAGGTATTAGCCTCCGTAAGTAATAACCTGGGAATCTTTACAATACCTGAGTTGTGGAGGGGCAAGCCTATATCGTTGTCCTCTGGCGGGGTCAATTTTGGTTCTGATATGAAGGCATTCGTATTTTTGTATGAATGAACTCTTTCTTCCGCAGCCTTCAACCGCCTTTCGAACAGTTTGGGATGAAATGTGGTCCGCCATTTGTCAATGCGTGCCACCATTATATCTACTATAGCAAGTCACGTATTGGGAAAAAGGTAAACACACATAGAAAATTCATATCATATTTCGGTTTGAATTCCAAATTACTAGGTAGGTATACCGGTGATTGTTGCGATTTTTTAAAGCTTCCTCGGGACAAAATTGAATAGTTTCTCCGATCCGATCCGAGCTTCATCTTTGGGAAAGGCTTCCCGCCACATGATTAAACATTCACTACCCACTACCTGACCACACGCGGGTAGGGTAGGTCTCACTGTATTGGATTGGATATCAATCACATCGCTCTATTTCTCTATCTCTCTATCTCTCTCTATCTCTCTCTATCTCTCGTTTGCTCAACCTTCATAAGTACCTTCTTTCATTTTCCTACAGTCTGATAGTTTGACACTCACTTCAACATTCAAATCCGAATGTTATTGCGCATCAATCATATACAAAGGCACCATGAAAATGACGAGACACCTATTGACCTTGGCTGCCTTTCTCTCATCTCTCGCGGCATGCACTCAACCTTCTGCTCCAGCTGCTATAGCTGCACCTATGAGAAAATTACCCTGGGGTCAACTAAACTTTCTACAAACAACAGATACTCATGGTTGGCATGCGGGACATCTACAAGAGTATGTCAAGTTATGATATATCGGGAAACAAGGCGCACTAACTCAAGTTCTTAGGGCACAGTACTCCGCGGACTGGGGTGATTACATATCATTCGCAGAGCAGATGAAGAAGCAAGCAGATGATAAAGGGGTGGATCTTTTACTGATCGATACCGGAGATCGAATTGAAGGGAACGGATTATACGATGCATCAGATCCTAAAGGCCGTTACACATATGACATTTTCAGGGAACAAGACATCGACATGATCTGCACCGGGAATCATGAGTTATACAAGGCAGATGCGGCTGCACGAGAATACGACCAAACTGTGCCAAACTTTAAAGGGAATTATCTTGCTTCAAATCTCGACTATATAAATTCGAGGACTGGTGAACAAATTCAAATGGCGAGACGTTATCGCAAGTTCACAACAAAGAATCAGAAGATTAAAATTGTGGCATTCGGATTTCTCTTCAATTTCCGTGGGAATGCCAACAATACTGTTGTTCAGGAAGTCGAAAGAACTATCATGGAAGAATGGTTTCAGCAAGCAATTCGCGAAGATGCTGATTTGTTTGTAGTTATTGGTCATATTACTCTGGATGGGCCGGAATACAAAGCTATTTACAAAGCCTTAAGAGAACAAAATTGGGATACTCCAATTCAATTCTTCGGTGGCCATAGCCATATTCGAAATTTTGCCAAATATGACTCTAAGTCTTATGGACTACAGAGTGGGCGTTATATGGAAACTGTTGGTTGGATGTCCATCGAGGGTATCAAAAATAACGAAAGAGAAAAGAAGTCAAAAAGGGAAGTCAATTCTGATGCACAGGACGTTGAAACAGAGGGACGTGCAAGCATGTCTTTCCAAAGAAGATATATTGACAACAATCTCTTTGGCTATCATTTTCATACTGGATTAAACGACACAACATTCCCTACGGAGCATGGCAAGAACGTCTCTAAGTACATCACTAAAGCCCGAAGAGCTCTGGACCTCGACCACAATTTTGGTTGTGCCCCAAAAGATCTCTGGATGAGCAGAGCAAAATATCCCAGTAAAAACAGTCTTTTCTCCTGGCTCGGTGACGAATTAATGCCAGATATTGTATCCCGTCCCGATCGAAAAGACGTTTCAACAATAGCCCTGACTAACACCGGCGCCATGAGATTTGACATTTTCAAAGGCGCATTTACAAGAGACACAACCTTTATCATTTCTCCATTCATCAGCAAATTTCTCTACATAAAAGACGTACCTTTGGCTGCTGCTGAAAAGGTTCTCACACTTCTCAACAGCGGTGGCAACATATTCTCATCCGCAAATCTAGATCTGGACCATCTCGCACCACCCGAACAAATATCCTACGAATCTGATATACTCGCCCCCTCAATACCCGTCTTCGATCTCCCACCACTACCTAAAGCTCAATCTCCTCTTCTCCCATCTTCCCTATCAACTCACAAGTACGACCTCATCCCTGGCTACACCACCGAGGACGACGCTGGCTCCGATGGCGACGACACGATTCACACCCCCATCACTGTTAACCGTGTACCTAATTGTATCGAATCCCGCATCAATTTTCCTTCCACAGACTCAACTCCCGAAACTGTAGATTTAGTCTTCATAGATTTCATAAAACCATGGGTCCTTGTCGCATTGCGCTTTTCTGGAGCGGAATATACGAATGACGATGTAAGTAATTATAGAAATGAGACTTTGACGGAATTGATGGCTGGATGGATCAAGGGGAATTGGGGTCAGGATTGTTAAATTAATCATCTAGGGAGTTGGATTGCACATGGTGGAATTGATTGTTATCGGAATAGACTACTTGATTCTACAGGCGTGGTGTTTTTTCTCTATACCTCTTTTGTTATTGTAGTAAGGTTTCAACAAAAGTGCAAGTGAGGCTATTGACTAGAAAAAAAAGTCGTTGAATTGAACATATAATACAAGGGTTCCAATAGTCTAAACTGCAGTTGCAGTCTCGCCGCACTAAGAGTTTTTCGATCGTTGGATCTATTTTACATATAGGATTCATTTGGAACATCAAATAATACTTCATTCATTCCAAAAGATTTATAGGTTGCTAAATATTGAAAGGTTTCAAATGGGATTGCAGTCCGGACTTATCAAGACACTCTGATGTAACGAATGAACACCGTAGTCAAGTTTGCACTTTCTTTAAAATACAGTAATACGATAATCCTAAAAGCAAACCATATAAATAAACCCAACCCCAATATCCTATCCTCACTTTAAACATTCATATACCTCTATCTATCTTCATTAAACATAAAAATCCTATCATCTCTAAACCAAACCATCTACTCAGTTTTTGAACCTTCCCATTCCAATCCCATCAAACAATGGCAACAAAAAAGTCTCCAATCTGTCGTCGCCAACCATCAAATCGTTAAATTCTTTCAGGGCATTCAAATCACCCTCTTTCTACGTTTTTTCTCCGTTTTTCAGGGCCCAAGGGTTTGAGACGCTGGAATCGGCGACGACTAAAATGAGGGGCGTTGGGTGGTTATTTTTTATTATGGGAGAATATGGAGAGGAGCTTAGGATAAGTAAAATGAGAGAGAGAAAGCTTGCTTACGTGCGCGGCACAGGATGTTGTCTGCGAGGATTAGACCACCAGGACGGAGGAGACGTGTCTTTGTGGAAGAGGGGGAAGAGAGGGAGAGAATTAGATCGAGATAGGCAGATTATGAAGTTTTGTCGGCATCGATGAAGATTAGATCGTAGGATTGCTGGAGGGTGGTAATTAGGGTTTTGATTCTGGGATATTGTTAGGAGGGATATCGAGATGTATGGTGAGCAGAGAAGGGAGGGTGAAAGTGTTGAACGTACGATTCACGAGCATCACCAACGAGGATCTCGACATTTTTGAGGTCATTTTTGGAGAACTTTTCGCGGGCTATATCAGCGTATTCAGGAGAGAACTCAAGGCCGGTTACATGACCTTCGGGGCCTGCCAGCCTCGGACTTTAATATGTGATTGGCTTGCGGCAAGACGAAGAGAAATGTGGTATTTCAAGAAAAGGGGGACTTACACCCATAGTAGAAGACCCGATGTAGGTTCCAATCTCTAGGACTAGATTCGCAAAGTCAATACATTAAATTGTGAATTGGCCACTAAGAACCATTGCAAGTAGTTGTGGATTGGAGTAGTACAAAACAGGACTATCTCGCGGATGTGGCAATCTCCTACTTAGTAGTGTGATTCGCATGTTAATCATCAAACACATCCTAAGCTGAAGGAATAGCATGATAACTCTACACAACCGCACCAAGATACAACGAGATCCATTTCTAACAACAATATACAAAAGAACAGACTCCTCTTAGCACCCATAACCCTCGCCATGAAAATTTGAAATTGGGCCTGGAAGGGTGAGATCATAAAATTGGCTTTTGCTTGGGTTGATCCCCAAGCATGATGGTCTAATATAGGAAGTTTTGTTGAATGCTCGAGGGAATATTTAGTGACCGCTTGGGAAAACTTCGGGGTTTGGGTAGAGAGCAGTATCGTTTTCCTTCATTTTGTCGAGTTCTTTTAATTTGAGGTTTGAGGTTTGAGGTTGTTGAGAGTTTATGAGGGTGGTGACTTGTCGTTCACTGAATCCGAAGTACTCGAGTAGATATACTCAGAGAAATCATGTACTCGATGTATGTACTAGAGTGAGGATATGTAGTTGTAGTACAAATAAAGATCTGATAAGATTAAGGTTACGCATATGCGGGGTTGGAAATACTTTAGTAGAAATGATCAGTCACACGTGATTGTTCTCCTTTTGGTTGTTTAGACGTGTCACATACTCACCTGAATACCTGCTAATCTCTAACATTACATTTACTTATTAAACTTCGATAGATATATTTCAAATCTGCTCACGAACAGTCAGTCCCACGTGATTGTTCTCCTTTTGGTTGTTTGGAAGTTGTCACATGCTCGCCTGAATACCTGCCAATTCTCTGGTACTGCCTCGCCCTCCTTCCAATTCAACCAATATCTATCATTACATTTACTTATTAAACCTCAATATACTTCAGATCTATTCACAAGAGTTCATAAAAGAGTAACACAGTATCTTCATCGACTAGTCAAATATTACTCTTGAGACCTCCTATACTATACCCCTTCAACCAAATTTCTTATCATGACTACAAGGTACTGTTCCATTCTCAGCACATTGCATACAGACCGTTCATTGTTCATCGTTCATCGTTCACTGTTCGCCGTTATTGTGTGTTGTTCACCGTTTGTACTGATCGTTCCAATAGATATCGAGTTGAGTGTACGTGTCCATAGCATGCTCCCAACGAATCCTCGGATCCTAATCTCTACTCAGATGCACTCAAGACTCATCGACGAGACCAATTCATAGGTATTTCAATTCCCCTTAGCTTTTTTACTGCGTAACGAGCATACGATTGTGCTCCTATTATTTTGGAAAGTTACGAGTTCCGTATTGGACAAGTGTCCCCAACTTTGAGAGGCATGTCGCTAATTATCAATGAAAGAATGGATCAAAGGTTTGTTAGCTGTACCGTTCGTTTTGCATTCACAACCAACTGGTGTATTCGAGTCGAGGAAAGGAACCATCGGTGAGATGGCCGAGATTGCCCACCGCCGTTATGCAGAAATTATGCAAGATGTTGAAGATATGATCGATGATCATAGTGAGTATCATAGATCCTTCGTATCATTACTCAGTACACGACTGATATGACCATTAGTTGCCCATCAAAAAGTTGGATTGGGAGGTCAATCCAAATTGAAGCTACTTGTTCCCAGCATTGGTACATTCTTCACTCGACTTCCCCTAGCGGACGCTTTTAGATATCAGGACAGGAAACGTTTCATTTCATCAAGACGATTCGTTCCACCTTCTTTCAACGATATTAGATTGATCTTGAACACTGCGCAGCTCATGGGAGTCACATCTACGGGTTCAGTGGATTTAGCTACTTTTGATGGTGATGTTACTTTGTAAGTCAAACTCATCATATGCGAGCCAAGTTGATAACTAAAGCCTTAAAGGTATGATGACGGTAAAAGTCTCGAACCTACAAACCCTGTTATCGAGCGAATAATCAGTAAGTCGAAAAACTTGACCTTGAATGCTAGAGCTGATCGCTGTAGACCTCATGAGCCATGGCACCAAAATTGGTATTGTAACAGCAGCTGGGTATACTGAGGCCGAAAAGTATTATGGGAGACTTCATGGACTTCTGGAAGCAATCAATGTCTCCGCTATTCTTACACCAGAACAAAAGCAGAATCTTATTATAATGGGTAACTTACCTCTATCTTTGTCCCCTCAAAGTCGCTCCTTTCCTTTATTACCTTTATTACTTCGATCCACATAAACTCATTTCAGCTCTGCCCTCACACCCCCGGACTTTCTAGAATTATCACTTTTCTCTCCTAACACCACACCAGGCGGCGAATCCAATTTCCTCTTCACCTATGACCCCACCTCTCCACACCTCCTAACCCATCACCAAAGACGCTCCTGGATTCTTCCCAGCATGTCTACCTGGACTCAACCGAGCATAACCGCTCTTCTCGACCTTGCCGAATCCTCTCTCCGCGAATGCGTCACCAACCTCGCGTTGCCCGCCACAATACTCCGAAAAGAACGAGCTGTAGGCATCATTCCTCGTGACCCAGGCTTCAAGTTCGCACGGGAATCCCTCGAAGAAACAGTACTGGTTGTACAAAAGAAGCTTGAGATGTCGGACGTTGGCAGCTCATTGCCATTTTGCGCTTTTAATGGAGGAAATGATGTCTTTGTCGATATTGGTGATAAAAGTTGGGGAGTATTGGTTTGCCAGAAATTCTTTGGCGGAAATGTTGAGGATGAAAATCAATGGATTAGAGGAGAGAGAACACTGCATGTTGGAGATCAGTTTTTAAGTGCTGGAAGCAATGATTTCAAGGCGAGAGTGGTGGGGACTACGGCTTGGATTGCAAGCCCTAGTGAGACGGTGGAACTGTTGGATGAATTAGGAGAACTTATTCAGAAGAAACAGGGGGATGTTGCTGAGGACATCCGATTGGATAATTTGAGGCCAGTGGATTTATATTAGCATGAGCGATATCATTTTATCCTGGGCGTCGGAGCAAGGGTAGGCAGTAGCTAGTCTAAATTCTCAAACAATATCAATTTGTATCATCAAGGCTAGTAGTGTCTTGATACATTCCACCATCAGTATGGCACTTTGTATAACTCGAGGATGTTTTAAGCAAGTATCAAATATGAAGATATGACGTTCCCTGGAAGATTGTGGATGGCAGGTGCTTAGTGAGACGGTTGGGGGGCTAGACGGGGGGCTTGTAGGCCATCATAGCAATAAAATATATCTTCTGCACAAACACATCTATCTACAGATCCTATCGACAAGCAAGTTGGAACACCGCAAACATGGCATCATTCTTAAATGCCTATCTTCTCGCACAAAGACTTCGACTCCATCGAGAATACCTACACCATACGACGATGTAAACCCTCAACCTTCTGCGGCCACCGCTATCACACAGTCGCCCAAACCTTCTACCTATGGAAGCCCCTGACTCGCACAGATTTTACCACGCAAATTATTCCACAATGGGGCTGTGATAATGGCGTATGTCGATTGTGGAAATTAGCTGAATGATTTGAAATAAAATCAGCTCGACTTCAAAGCGTGACAGTTTCCCAACTGTTCACGCCACTAACTCCGAGACTTAATCTGATTCTCGAACCAATCCCTTTATCGTTTCTAGTCCCAAGAAGTCTTTTCCGTGACTGAGTTGATTGGAATTTGAAGACATATCAAAAGAATGCCTTTCGAATTTATCAATAACGCAGTAATCGACCGTACGGCCAGAAAGCACATCCGTAGCCATCACAACCGCAATAGTGGTGTCGGCTACAGCGTCACTCCCGGATAATTTGCTATTGATCAAGCGGAAAGCACGTGATAGGTGATGCATTGCCGTCTTCGGGTCTTCTTGATTTCGGACGATATTATTGAGAGCTGTAACCGAAACAGCTATCCCGCAGTATAAGCCTAGTAGATATTGGATTAGCTATATTTATGCAACGGCAAGGGGAGCATGAGTGGAGCATACAAGCTGCGTCTAGAACCATGAATTGGACAAATATCAAAGTAGGTGTATGGGGTGTAGTGAGAGCATTATTCAGTTCTGGAGGGTGCCCTATACTGCTAATGAATGAGAAAGCCATGCAAAAGATCTCAATTAGTGCACCAGTAGAACACCATCGTACCGCTCTGAATTATTATCTTATCTCCGATGGCGTGTTCCGAAAACAAAAGAACAGAAAGGTTATCGCCAATCTGCCGTTCAATTTCGTAAATGGTATCATTCTCCGAGTCTTAAAGTTTAGTATGAGCAGAGCCATGGACGTTGGGAATATACATATCGCCCGAAGTGATCTCACGTCGCATTCCATTTGGTCTCTTCTTCGATGGTCGCATGAGCTCCTTCCCCACGTTCCTTCCCATTGCAAATCATGTCGCAATATTATCAGCTACAAGGTCAATTTAGTCAGGGGCTCGTTCATCTTCAGGGGCTCGAAAGAATGGTCAAGATCAGGGGTGGAGTTTTATGTCTCAAAGAGGAACGATCTACTCTTGCTCATAAGATATTTAGGTTGAGAGATATGAACCTTATTCAACATCGGTGCCCAAATTTAATCTAGGGCTGATCTCGAATATTCTCTTCATTTAGGCACCTCCACACGGTACGCCGCCACAGACATTGCGACCAAGAATCCTTCGGGTATCGATATAGCTTATAATCCAAATTTCCACGCAATACATGCAGATTCTATTGCACAGCTTCTCTTGCAACTCAGCACTGATCTCCATGTTCTTCTAATAATAGATGCTGCATATTTCTCTTGGCTGCTCAACGAGGCCATTGCCGGACGCGATCCGCCTCTAGACAGTTATAGCCTCCATAAGACGCTTCTTGTTATTGGGTATAGTTTCATCTCCTTGTATCCCCTTAGGGGTTTTCGGTCTCGGAGTCCCCTTGAGAATGCAATTCATCTAGGTCTAACGACATTCGTCGCAACTTTCATGCGAGGCCTTGACAGCAAAGTCTCAGACAACCCATTGCTAGCCGGATTGATCAAATCTTCTGCACAGGAACTCTCTCGGATTAAAGAGGGGAACTCAAAGGTATTGCTCTGGCTCTTGTTCATTGGCAGAGCTTTGAGTTTTTATAGTGCGGATAATCCATGGCTAGTTCAGGATATAAGCCAGACCATGGATGCTCTCGGTCTTCAATGTTGGATTGATGTACAGCGAATCCTGGAAAATTTCCCTTGGGTCTGTGTTTTGCACGATAAAGAAGGCAAGGCGTTGACACACTTGGTTGGGGTCTCATCCCGGTACCTTTGGCGCCGTGAGATTATGGGCCAACCCTCATCGCCCCATATAGTCATAATAACTCAAAGTAGCAAAACATAAGTGTTTAGAAAACCAATCTTCCAAATTTAATCTGCTGTGCGACAACAGGGCCGGGTGTTTTTATATAGGGTCTGGCTATGCGTTGACCTTTGTCGAAAGAGACAGACTATATAAGCACCCGTAGAGTCATTTTTCGCTACTTCGCTACTGGATAGCCAACCCAACCTCACCCCTGCAAGATTCTCTCTACGCATCCGGGTTCAATGGTCTCTAGTTCCCTTGCAATAGCATCCCAAACAAGCTTTTGCGACTTCTTTATTTCCTCGTCCGTTATCCAACTTGGCACTTCTTTTCTTTAACCAACGTATTAGAACAACAACAAATTCAAGATACGATTCAAACTCACTCAGCAATGGTACAAGAATCCAACAAAGACCCATGACTCTCTTCACCCGCAACAGCACCGTACAATAGTGTTCGACTACCATCCTCGGCCGTCCGTCCATATTGCTCTTTTTGCTTAGCTAGCTTCTCACAAAACCCAGGAGGAACGCTGCGACCGAGATCAGTTTTACAGAGGCCAGGACAGACCAGATTTATGACAGCTCCGGAGCGGGAAACAGGAAGGAGACTGGTAATATGACGAATTGACATCACTTCAAAGAGCTTAGAAAGCGGATACCTAGTCAAAACAGTGTCAGCTTAAAATCAGACAATATAAGGAATAACCTACGCTTTCAGAGTGATCATTTCTTCCTCGTCCAATTTTGCAATTGGATTGTCCTTGATTTTCATCCAATCTTCTTCAAAATCAAAACAGGCTCTACTCGTTACAATTACCAAATGCGTCAAGGTCGTGCTCTGCTCTGCTCTGCAATCTCCTTCAATTTTGGGAGCAGCAAAAGTCCTAAAAGTATTGTGTTGATTACATTAACTGTGACTGTAATCAGATGTCCTTCTTTTATGACTCTCTCCCCAGACGCTACTCCGGCATTCTGAATCACTGCATCGACTCTATCCAGTTTCTCGATCGCCCTTTTCGTAAATGCAGTAACAGAATTGTAAGAAGATAAATCCAGCTCCCATACTTGGGCCACACCAGAGATCTCGGTGGAGGATTCAATATCAGCGAGAGCGCGGTGGCCATAGGAGAGATTGCGCACTCCCATGATGACGATTGCAGATCCCAGGCGAACAAGATGTTTAGCGGCTTCGAATCCAAGGCCTGCGTTAGCGCCTGTAACGATGTAGGTGCGTCCTCTACATATCTCGGGGGTGATGAAGAGCGGGAGGCTGTAAATCTGAGTTGGGATGGCTGCGGCCATGTTTTTGGGAATAGTCGTTGTGTAGTAGGACTTTGGTGGAATAAGTGCGATTGAATAGAAGTGATCTGGAAGAGACGTATTTAGCCAATTTGTATTAGTTACTAATTCGAGGGTGAACTACAAGCTATATAGAATTCCAGCATATCATCATCCGTCATCTTGTGGTCGACATGGTAGAAATCACACATATGGACGACGTTATAGCCATCGCCAACAACCGGTCTTTAGCAAAATCCGCGAGGAATTAGCATTGCAGGGGTGGACCAATAAGAGAGTAGTTTCCTGTTTTGGACATTGCCAAGCGAGATCCGCTTTTCAATACTGCAATGACCCCTATCAAAGTGTACTTTCGTATTATTTTAAGTGCTAAAATATTTCGAGTTGGACATTGGCATTGATTTCCCTATGAGGTTAAAGAATGACAGGCTAAAATCATGACTTTTCAATATGATTCAATGAGGCATGTTCATACAGAGGTCAACGTAAGAATATTGATATGAGAGGAAACCATGATGCAATTGCGTTCCATATCGCCCTAACTTTCTCTTTGCTGATGTGGATGAGATCTCAATGGTCAAATGAAAGGCCTTATAGGATCTCGGTGGCTTGGGCGATCAAATTCGAGGACACAAAATGGATGGCGCATAATAGTTATCTTTAGACAACTAGGAAACATTGAAGGGCTCACTAGATCACCAAAGTCGTCGTCGTCAGCACGGGACTTTCCGGGTGAGTGTAACGCGCCCAGAGGAAAAGCTGAACACTGATCGCCAACCATCCCCAAAGTAAGGCCACAAACGGATGAGAAAGTGTCGATAACAAAACGAACCATAATTTAGCGAGCAAAAGCACCAGCAACCACAAAATTATCCGAGTCTTTACTGTTGGCTATTTTTCTTCCACATATTTTATAACAAAACTAGCCCTTACGGTCTGATAAAGGAGAAACCTAAGACGAGTTTTTGTCCAGAGAAGAAGTCAATAGCGCAATAGCGCTCAAGGGTTCGACATTTGCGAAACCTTTTGACGAGAGGCGCTATGGAAGCAAAGTTATACATGACAACACCGCTAATATTAGCAAACGTAATGAAAAGAGCAACACGAATTTTTTGATACCAAGGTGAAGAAGATATGATTCACGAAGAAAGTTTTAGGTCGAGTGGGTCGATCGTGCTCTGCGGCAACGGGAAGAGACACCTTTATTCTGGCGAGGACTGGAAACTCAATATTGAGCTACCTAGTATCTCCAGAAACTTGAGCTTTTCTTTTTTATAAAGCTGACGTTTGGCAGTAACAGCATACCCACCCACCACAAGAAATTGTGCTCGTATAACCGTGCGTTCTCAACGGGGTGGTAGGATATGTCATTAAAAATATGGATATTAGCCCAGGCTAATACCACAATCGACCAATTGTAAGCCCATTAAGTCTACTACCCCACTTTCGGGCCACCCCCCCCTTTCGGCCACCCTAAAAAAAAGACCCCCATCTCCCACAGCATATAACTCAACAACTATTCAACTTCAATAAAATCGCCTGTACCGTCACTTTCAATTGTACCATCGCTATCTTCAGCATTAATTCCACGGTCTCCAGCCACGATTTGCGCCTCCCTAATAGCTCTAATCCCTGTAAACCTGTTGTTTGGACTAGTAACAACCTTATGTCTTTTCTTAGGTACAACAGCATCCAATTGATACTCCAATTGCTTTATACGTTTCCCCGATTCCATAAGATTATAGTCCTTGATATCAAAAGCTTTAATAATCTTACGAAAAAGCAAGCGTCTCGTCGCCAAATCGGGCTCTTTTTCTTAAGTCATAATCGATGCATATAATCGAAGATCCACTGCTTTTTGAAGGGTTCTCCAAGTAATAGTTGATGCCCCTATGTTTCATTAAAGCTGGGGATCATTATCAGAGACTGGATTAGGCACTAAAACCTCTTGGTTACTGTTCTCAAGCAATAATCGATTCATAAGGGGTTTAGTGCGGTTTTTGGGCTATAGACCCGATACTTTCCACCCAGCTTTAATATTATGAGTTATTAGACCTTCCATTCTAGCCTTCTGGTAGCAATGAAGGAAGCTACGCTTTCCAATTAGTATAGAATCAGAGAGAGAATTCAGATTATTGAGTGCATGTCGATAAGCATTTTTCAGAGGTGAGAAGACTAATAAATCTAATGATTGTAGGATGTATAACGTATATAATGGTAGGAATAGAAGATATATATTGTTTTCGAAGCATTTGTACATGAAAAGCATAGTTTCATGATTTCTATGCCCATCCAATATAAATAATTATAGTTCTCTGGCTTGAAAGAGGGTAGTTTGAGGTATAAAGACCTTTTTTAATCATTTTAGCCCTGTTACATCCATAGTCCACCCATTTTCTGTAGCAATGAAGTTCCAATCCTTATAAAGATTAAGATCAGTAGGAAACCATTATTGTTGAATGTTTTTTCCCTTATATATAACAAGTGGTTTGAGGGCCCGTCCTATCGCCGAAATACACTCGATAAAAGACGTCCAAACTCTTGAACCAGGCTGCTTTTTTTTTAATATGACGACTCTGGGAGCTTCCTACTACTAGTCCATTAAGACCTTGACCCTCCATTATACCAGCCTCGTCCATATTGTATCGATTTTCAGGTTTTATATCGATAATCTCTGGTAAATCGAGTTTTCGAAACTATGGCGCGATAATATTATATGAAGCACCGGAAACTCGGGCAGAGTCGATCTTATATTTTATATTAGTTTTTATACAATTGAGTCTTAGGCTTTTTATATGTTAGATCCAATATAGCCTTCGGATCATCTGATTAAATACGTGTTCGAAAACTATATATCCATTTAGATTGGCATCTTATACAAAGTCATTCTTACTACTCTTTTTATATATTCTTTATAGAAGCGGAGATAAGCGCAGCAGAAGCTAACCTTTTGTAAAATCAGTAACCAGTCTCCAAATGCAGATTAAGAATCAAAACACGAGTATGGCCGAAGCGGCGATAACATACGGGAATGTGTAGTAGTATGCTGAATTCTGGCGTGTTCAATCTTAAATAATAAACATAAATAAAAGAGGCATCATACTTGAGAGTAGTATTAGAGAGTATTGTTAGAGTTTTTATAAAGCCTAACTCTTGCTTGGTAATTGTATTATATTTTGTATATATTATTAATATAGATTTACTAAGCAAAGTAAGTAAAAACACCGTCTACATTGTATATTAAACGATAAATATTTCAAATAGTATCATTTTCAAATTTGATACCCGAAATAGTATAAGTTCTAATCGAGATATAATATATACTATTTCAGATTGTATTTGTTTTTAGAAATAGAATTGTTTTAGTGTAAAAAAACAAATATATTAAGTTGATCTTAAGAATAAAAATATTATTAAAAGAATATCTAATATTTTGAGACTATAATAGTATTATATTCAGATTTTAAATTTAAAGTAATAACATTTATTTTAGAGACTAAAATGATATATATATATATATCTGTCACGGGTTCACTACCCGTTCCTAGCTAGCCCGGGTGGATGCCTTAGGCATCCATCCACCATATAGTCGTCGTTGCTCCACGCGCCTCCTTCTCTCCTTGTCGAATATTATACATCATATCTAGTATCCACCAGAACCTGTATCAACCCTGTGATAGTATATTCGACCCTTCAAAAGGTTCCACTGTTGATTAGCCCAACCTTGATTCTTTTATTTTACAAAAATCTTGTAGAGTTATTATTTATTATATAATATAATTGATCACTTAATGAAAAGTGAATTTGAACAATTTAATTTTATAAAAACATTGATATTATAAATACCTTGATATTACAAAGCTTGAGAATTTTGAACTCTGTTTTCATTTTATAATAGATAATACTATATCACAAGTTCACTACCTGTTCCTAACTACACCTACCTACACCTATCTACACCTACCTATATCTATCATATATACATTATCCATTCTTAGTTAGCTTAGGCAGATATCTTAGGTATTCATCTATTATATAGTTAGTATTACTTTATATACCTCCTTTTCTCCTTATCAAATATTATATATTTTATCTAATATCTATCAGAATCTGTATCAATCTTATAATAATATATTCGACTCTTCAAAAAGCCCTATTGTCAATAATAGCCCAGCTTTGATTATATTTACTTGTATATAACAATTTTAATTTGATAATTTTGATTCTAACTTCGACTTAAACCATCATAATGGCTAATATAACAAATTCATTAACTATATCTAGTAATATTAACCCTAATATATCTATTATCAATACTAATATTTCTGCTTCTGAAACCAAGATATATGAAATCTTGATTATATATATTTATTAAATATTCCAAAACCAATCCTATATTGTTGATATATTCACTTCTGGTATCCCTTTTTTATAATCTAATCCTATTAATCAATTTATTCAATATAGAAGATGCTGACTCTATTGCTTAATACTTTTTTCAAAACCTGTTTACCATATTTAAAATTATTATTAAAGAATATTATATTAAGTAATAATCTAATAAACTACTGAAGAATAACTCAATACTAAATATATAATTCAATTAGTTATTAAAGAATAATTTAATCAGGTTTGTAATAATCTTCTTATTCTAATAATATCAATTTCAAGAAGTATACAATTCTGTTACTAAGATCTTTAATCAAAATCCTGCTACTAAATCC